AGGAGAGTTTGTATGGTACGTGGAATGATGGCATCTCTCTCTCTCTCTCTCTCTCTCTCTCTCTCTCTCAATATAAAGTTTATATAGGAAAATTTCATAAATTGTACATGTAGAGACATATACACATGCACAACCCCAAAAAGAAAGAACAGGGAAGTCGGAGTACTTGCATGGTGACCATCATGGATTAGATCATCATCCTCATAGCCTTTTCCCAACTATTTGGGGTCGGTTGCACGAATCCTAATCTGCCTTTTTGCTCCATCAAGGGCAGATTCATGGATTAGATGAAGGAGCTATGTTCATGCAGATCCAATTTCTGTAAACTGATCTTCTGTTTCATCATTGGAGTCCAAAGCATGGGGACCAAGTAGCTTTACTTCCAAAGAGAATAACCTTTTGAAAAATTCATAGGATGCAAAGAAGAGTGCTCCTTGAGAGACATACATAACCAATCTTGGTGTCAATCCCCTGAAAAGCAAGACATGAATCTTATAGCAGAAACCAATATAAATAGTCCACAGAGAGGGAGGGAGGGAGGGAGGGAAGGAGGGGGAGACTATGGAACAGCCGCATTAAGTCAATACCTGTAGAGACCTCTCAAGCCTTCAATCTTTGCTATTTGTTGAAAAGCATGAAAAACACCACCATAATGATCCAATGAGCCAGGAATCTGCAGACCACAACCCCATAAGAAATATTGAAAGTAGACATTTGGTGTACTGCTACAGCATCCAAGTATGTATTAGAGCAAATACATAAATAGGGAAACACAACCAAACCTGAGTTTGTAATCTAGTTTTGATGACATCAAAAGGAGTTGTGAACAATGCAGCAGTTGATCCTGCAAGGCCTCCGAAAACAAGCTGCAAAAAGATGAGTTCAACTCACTGCCAGCTCATTCAATCTACAATTGACTAAGCCCATGTCTGGGGGGGGGGAGAGAGGCTCTTCTGTCATGGAGCTGAGCTAAGACTACTACAGTACAGAACAGAGAAGAAAATAGTAGTTATGTGGTTTTTTCCCAAAAAAAAGGAAATGAAGGGATGCAGAGAGATTGAAATTGCACTTTCATTTTCTTTAAACCCAGATTGAATGAAATCACAGCTTTCTAAGACTGATTAACTTAATCATTCATGAAAATGCTTGATAAGAAACATCATCAAAATCTATGGGGGAAATCTCAACCTCAACAACACAAAAAATGAGCTTTGAATATCAATATCGTGCAATCTAACAAACCAAAATCCATTCCAAAAGCCGGATCATAAAAATATGCATACATAAGAAACAATATACAGTAAACAAACCGTTTGCAGTGTATTGAGCTGCCCACCAGTTTCCTGCCTTGACAATGCCCATTGCTTTAGACTTTCGTAAGTGTAGAACTGCCAAAACGAGAGTAAATTGTAAGTGTTTCTTTCTTCTTAATAAAATTGATAGTATTGCACTACAATATAAGAACAATAAAATATACATCTATTTAAGAAAATTCTAAGCACTTTTTTCATTGATATGTAAACGCCTTCCAAACATGGGCTCCTACAAATACATCATATCAAGAAATAAGAAAATAAGACAAATCAGAACAAACAGAAGGCTACATATGGCATTCTCAAGGCCAAATTCTTCTTTTGATTTCCTAATATTTAATTAAATATTGTTAGATTTAATCAACTGCATTATGCAGTCCTTTCATGCTTTTACAATATGTTTTGTTGTTGTCCTTTGAATTAGCAAGTAAAAGACTACGTCATTGACATCAAATATATAATGCTACAGAATGGTCAGCATCCCCAATATTGAAAGGTAAACAAACCCCAATATTGAAAAGTAAACAAGTTTATACAAGGTGTCAACCTTATATTATAGATGTAAGATGCACCACAAAAAGGTTATTTTGAAGTTGAAAAACCGGCCAATTGATAATCTCGATCTCGAGACATATGGATATGAAAAGAAGAAGGATTTCAAGTCTTAAAATAGTGCATCTTATAACATATTATCTGAACCGTCCATTTTCAAAACTTCTTGGTGTTTATAGATCTTCACAAGTTACTCTGTTTTTTAGCTTTATATTTTATTGTTAGAAGTAAAAATAGATTTTTAGGCCATTGAAGGGTTTCTAGCAGTTGAACTACATCTTTTAGTAAGATTTAGAAGTGCACCATACTTTGATTGTTTAAGGTTCACACCTTACATAAGTCACGCCCCCAATAGATAAACACAGAAAACCACACATTGCGTTGCATTAATCACAACACATCGTAGCCTCTAGTACAAAACCTCAATACTAATTTTGAAAAAAAAAAAATGATGCCTGGATAAAAGTATTAACATGTTCCCACCTTGATAATAGAATGTGGGATATTCCTGCATAGAACTGCACCCCACCCTGCATATAATGAAGACACACCACCTTTTTCAAGAATTCCTATGAATGCCTTCCTGCAATAGAATTAAAAAAAAATGCATGTATTATGAGGGAATATCGAAGACAGGTAAATAAAGTAGAGATAAAATCATAAAAAAGCATGATGTCAAATGAGACATCTGTCTAAATGTCGGTCAAGGAAAAAAATCTACAGCTAATTGAACAAATATGAAGCATCAAAAATATGTTCTGTTTGTCATATCGTAGATGTATTTTGATGGATAACACACAAATATAAAGATCCTAGGGAATTCTATAAAAAAGATTTAGAAATATCATGTGGCTTAGACATGTTCAATCAGGGGATAGAAAGATTCAAAATCGATGCATGATAGCATGCCCATGGTATCCTATTATTATGATGCAAGATTCAATTTTTTGATTTGATTGATTTAGGCCGGAGTTATGGCATGATCTAAGAAGGTGAGGACCTTAAACTTTCCCTTAACCATTCCAAGCTTGGTAAAGGAGGTGGGTTGTGTTAGGTAGGTAGCCAACGTAAAACTTTGTCAAAACTTTCTATGAATCCGGAATATAAGGTATGGGCCCAAAAGGCGTCCTTAATAGAGCAGAATAGCAGATCAAAATTCATGTAGCTAACCCTAATTAGTTGAGAAAAGGCTCTGACGATGATGATAGACCATTTCGACAGTTCGTGGGTGCAAGACCAAGCGATCCTTCATTGCTATTGGATCAATGGCATTCCTCATAGGGTGAGAAGACCAAGGGCCCTGATGTCAAACAATATGGTACTTTCTAGAGGGTTATTAGACCTTCCTTGCATGATTGGTGTCCCTCATTTCCACCCAAACCATAATAACTTCACCATCTTTAGGGGGCGGGCATTTGGGAAAAACAAAGTAGCCATTTCAAAAGATATGACAATCCTTATATCTCAAGAATACAGTAAAGACGCACGATGTAAACTCGCAAAGGAAGAAATTTCGGGAAATAAAGTGGTGGGCCTTCTAGTGGAATGGAAACTGACATTGTTTCGTGATACCTTCTCTCAATGATTAGATATGAGTATATAACATGAACAAATAAACCATGAGTGTCCAACTTTAGAATTCATCCATTCGCAATAACCTTGGCACTAGCACATCCTAATCAGCATACTCTGTGTAGAAGAATCCTTTCAATATATGGGAATCTCTCTACACAGAACAAAGAAAATATATTATGTGTATTCAACATTGCAGGTCATATATGCATTCATGTAGCGTGTGAAGGGAAAAGTAAATTTGACTAACCATGATCACAAAACCTTCATCTTAAGGCAAACCTTTTACATATCACCATGGAAGGTGCCAGATTAGCTCTCTAACATGCTAAAATTGAAGTTATCGCCATGTGGAGGCCCATGAGCATGTTGGCATGTGAGCATCTACAGTATGAAGAACACTACTGATAAGCAAAGAACATTTATGGTGGATACTTTTTCGATAAGTAATACTTATGGTGGATACTAGATTCCATCAATGTGTCTTCTGTGCCTTCTTTCTCTTATATGACACTAGTTTCTACCAATCTTCTTGTGACCAGACTGGACCCTACTAGACCTCAAGCTGCCCCAAGCTGCCCCAAGTATGGCCTTTCAATCAGGAAAACAAGGCAATATAAGTTAAATAGCATGAGATAGCCAGTCAGCTCTTTGATAATCATTTCAACAGGTTCTGAGACAAAGGCTTAGCTTTACTGGGTCTGGATTTAGCCCCTGTTTGAATGTGCTGATAATCATTTAAGAAAAATAGCTTTGCAACCTTTATGAGCAATCCTGGATAATCTTTTCTTTAAATCTTGCAGAAATTTTGATGTTGTCCTGCAATAGTGATGGACCAAGCTGGAACCTTTTATCACTTCTAAATGTGTGGACTAAAAAAAAGGCATTATTCCTAAAATTTCATTCGTCCAAACAGGCCTTAGATTATTTCATCGGTTTTTTTTACATCAGTCAATTATATAAGGGGATTCTCTCAATGTCCTTAGTTGCACTCAAAAAGAATCTGGCTTTTCACGTAAGCTAGTGAACCTATGGAGGAAGCCAACGACGTACTCCAGCTAGTTGAGATCTCTATCATATCTGAAAGGTAAGCCAATGGTGACAGTTCGCCTAACAAAAGACATTGCAGACTACTTGCCCGCCAATTCAAGACCCCCTCTCAATTTTTGTTTTTGGGCTCTCTGTCTTCTTTATCTGTCTTCACAAAACCAATATGCATCTGTATGTCTGTATACACAAGGGCAACTAGATGTGCACATACTCGTATAAATCATACGCTTTTTCGTTTAATTGGCAAAACATATATAACAAACAAAAGACCAATTTATGTTATTTATCAATGAAGGCTGGTTAGTTTTATCAAGATCCCAAACTCATATAAATGATACAAATTACCCAAAGCCATGTTAAATTTTGAAACTGAACCAGAGCAGAGAGACTTCAAGTGACACAGAAAAGTTTACATCAAAGCTTATCCCCTTCCGTCTTTTACTTTTTAAGAAAGAATCATGTCAAACTGGCCAATAGGGCTTGAATCTGCCCGCTTGACCATATCAAGTTGAACCACTCTTTTTTTGATGCATTTAAATGCACAATACATACTCAAGCTTGCCCCAACCAGTAGACACATGCACAGTTGCACACAGTGACATACTTGTTACTGCCATGTGTTGCATTGAAAAAAAGAGGTAAAGATAAAGCAATATCTTAAAGCTAATGAAATGAAGTTATTTGAATGCATCAAATACAATCAAACAAAGAATAAATAACATCACAACATGAACCACAAATTAGTTTTACAGAACCTCATTTCTGAAAATTGAGGTCATAGACAAGTCTTGTTTGTGATCTTTGTATGTCTCAATCAATAACTCAACTAATAGGTCCCAGGATATGGTCTGGAACTACAGTTCCATGGTTCAACAAGCTTTCTATCGGAGGATTCCCAAAACATGGGAATCAACACAGCTAGGTTGACATGGAGCACTTACCTGGAAAGCACTAACTGTTCATCTAAAGCAGTTTTCATGTCTTTCCATGGATGAAGTGGTTGTTCCAATGAACATGATAAACAAAACTATACGGTTGGTAAGAATTCCAACAACCTGACACATGCAGTACAAATGAAGCTCCTACAGGACAATAAAATGATTTCAAGTACCTGCTATGACAAGAAAATAATCCATACCAAATACTAAATCAACGACCCATAAGAATCAGACAGATCTGAAACAATAAATACTGAGTAAAACCATAGGCAACAGAAGGACAACATTCAGACCAGAAGACAATTCCAAAAGGGTATGCAAGTGCCAAGCTAAACCATAGAAACGAAAGAACACAGTCACATCTCATCATTAAGTTGACCCAGAGTGTCAATAGCCAATAGAATATTCTGCAGTAGCAAATCCAACAGCAAAATGAAGACAGAATGGTTTACCAGCACGTATGATAGTGAGAACCAATTTGCATCTGTTGCTTAATACGTTCACTTGGAGTAAAAATAAAAGAGGTTGCAATACTTGCAGAGCCGCCCGCAACACAATGTGCAAGAGAATGATATCCCTGTATGAGATAGATGGAATTAAAGCAGCAAGCAAAAGCCTATAAATGAAGTGGGGACCTATTTCTTTCAATTAGTAATACAAATGAAGTTTCCAAATACTGATCATGTGCATTTTAAAAGGAATGGGAAAAGTGCATATCACTTGAAAGACCAAGCTATATTATAAATAGTTTTGAAGGTTCCTTTTTAGGTTGTGCTGGGTAAGATAATTTTAAGCTTTAACTACCACAATGCTACCAGAGAGAGTTCCAAGAAAGGTGAACAAAAAATCACCTTTGGCAATAGAGGCAATAGATGTTCCTTGATGGTTTCATAAGTGAAGGTGTAAACTGCAGATATGGGTGCAGAAGATGCAAGATTGCTGCCAATGCCTCTGTACAGTCCTGTTACTCCTGTAACCAAAATACAAGCCACTCCTAAGGTCAAAAAATAAGAGAGTATTTCAACAAATATTATAGATGAAGACTCATGAAAATGGCCCTATAGTAAGTGACTCAATCTCAAGAGCCCCCATTAGATAGCAAATATCTAAGAAATTGCAATTATGAAAAACTGATACCTCTTTCAGATACTATTGAGCCAAGAATATGACCAATGGACTTCTGTTCCACCCTGCCTGACTGAATAACAGTTTTAAGGGTATCAACAGGATGAAGCCAAAGGCTAACAAAAACTCCAGCCAAGGCTCCTGCAATAGCATGCACTTGCTGTACATGAGCTGTGTTAGCTCTCTCCAATATAGAATTACTAAGAACCGGTAGTGGCACAGTCTCAAGGACAAGCTCCCCTTTGAATTGTCTTTTTGTATTCTTACATACACTGGTATTTTTCTTGCAGTTATATTTCTCCAATGACCCAGGGACAGAGATAGGCTCTACCATATTCAAGGATCTACCAAATGCGTCGGATGAACTGTGAGATCCAATAGAATGCTGCACCTTCTCTTTTGATTCCAGACTCTCACTTGAAATTGCATCTCCAACTTTAAAATTTTCTGAAGTGGAGTTTATAGAAGCACTTTGTACGTCAGACTCATTCAGACTGGTAATAGGTTTCACATGAACATAATAATTTTCAGGTGTAAATGAATTTGGGGAAGATGAAACATAGGAAAATCTAATGCTCCTCAAACCAAGCATTGTTGATATCTCTACAGGTCCATGAGGCATGTTGCCTGCATTATAACTCCAGAAAAATGACTCACTCTTTTTTCCAGTGCATAAAGCAAACAAGGACTTATTCTTTAAAACTTTCAAAAGCTCAAAATCTGAAGTCAAAGTACGTGGAGATGAGCTTGTACAATTTGAATCGGTATGAGGATCTTTGATATCAGCAGATAAAGATGCTTTGGTCTCAATTCCACCAAAAGAATATGGCAAAGTTTTCTTCAAATCTCTTATATCCTCTTTATGTTTTAGTTGTATCCCAATACTAGAGTAAGGGTTCCTCTTATCTCCACAGCCACTATCTCTTGCATTAGATCGTGGCTGAGATATTGAGGACGGCTCAGATAGAAAGCCCCAAATGACCTGGAATGCAGACACAACCTCAGAGGTACTGAGTATTTTGCTAGGATGACCGGGTTCAGAGATGCATTCATTGGTTTCTGATTTCGAACCTGAGACAAGATGGAAATTATCCTCATTTCCAGTATCAGAAATCTTAGTCAATGTTATGCTGTGTGGATCCCATCTATATTTAATTGAAGGTCGACCATTTCTAGATGGTTTTTTCACTCCAGCCATTGTCCTTCAAATCTTCCGCGATAAAATCTCTTACTAACTTTCTTCTTTTATCCTTTTATGGATGAGTTTCAGGACCAACTCTAGTATCAATACAGTGTGAAAATCTCCTGCGGGTCCTAGCTGCATTCATAAGACAACATCGGGTATACATAAGATTTATAAGGTCGGGTAACTTAGTTCAAAAAAAAGAGAAAAAAGTAAATTAAAGTCAAAACTATCACTGCTTCAAAAAAAAAGAAAAGTATGAGTTGGTAAAAGAAATGATCTAGAAAAGTGCAGAAACGATGTAGAAAACTGCTCCCAAATCTAGGAGAAAGTGCAGAAATGTTCAGTTTGTCAATTTCTCTCTCTCGCTCTTGTGCCAAATTTGTGACATAGATATTAGATTATAAACATTCTATTCCTCCTAGGTGTAAACAAAAACATCAACAAAAAATACAAGAACTTGTAAACAATAGTACTAAAAAAAGAAAAAAAGAGCGAGTGACTCTGAGGATAACCAAATATGAAATGTTTCATCAAATGAATCCAAAATCCAGTAACAATTTTGTCATGAATAATCAAATCATATCAATGTAACCAGAGATACAACTCCAGCATCAATGAATGGATCCGAACAAAAGTTAACCATGATATACACAAGATGCATTACCCAGAGCAATGAAACAAAAAGTGCAGCAATTTATGAAACACAATACTTCATTCTTAAATATATCAGAGTTTGAGCACAAATCAAATACCTGGCAAGCTCCAAACTTTTCCCCCATTAAACTGCACACGAAGAACCTTGGTTCACTATTTCACATTTCGAGCAAAAACCAACTGTCAGTTCAAATCCTAGGGGTCCGAGTAAACGCTGAAAATGAAACGAAGGATTTAGGGTTTACAGGAGCTGGGATTTCAACTTCTGCAAAGTGAATAAATAAATAAACAATTTAAGGTTTTGAGATGAAGCAATCAAGCTAACAGTGAACAAAATTAGGGTTTTAGGGTTTTAAGGCGCTCAATCAGGGATTATATACGTAATGGAGAGGAAGGCTTCGCCAGCTAGAACGTAGCCGTGCACGAAACGAGCAAATAACGGGCCGCGATTTGGACGGTTGGAATTTGTGGTGGGGCCAAAAACCCTAATCAGTCCACCTTAGACAGAAGAAAAATATTTATTTTATAAAAAAGAATTTCCTAATTTTTAGAACAGTGTTCCCTTTGACTTTGAAGAGCATCTTCCGGCACCAAAGAACCCGTCAACAGGGTTGATTAATAACATTTTACTATCCTAAAGAAAGTCTTAAAACCCAAATGCACCCACCCTTTTCTCTCTCCCTCTAATCCTAGAGCCAGAGGCCTACTATCAAAGTGGGAGTTATTCATTTTTCACCTCAAAAGTGGCAGATAAATCTTAAGATACCAAATTATCTTTCTCGTTTTTGACATTGAAAAACCCAATTGTTAAAACTAGCGGGGCCGCCATTGCTGGCGAATTACTGCTCCTTATACAGTGTGAGAGACACATCAAAGGAGGTGAAAGATGAGCAAGCCGCAGCTGTGATGAATGCGGCGAGGGCGAAGATATCAGATGAAGAGGGAGGTGACTGGATTTGGAGGTGAAGATGGTTGGGGCGGAAGAAGGTGGAGACCATAAAGGCCGTTGACTCTGAGATTGCGGCCATCACCTTGGAGATTATGTAAAAGGGTATGGACAAGAAACTGGGTTTGGTGATAGCTAATTCACCGCACCTATATTACTCATATAGAAAATTGGCTTTTTGTAAAAGCAAGAAATTGGTATTTTTATAAGAGAAGATGAGCAATATTTTGATGAGTTGGTTAACTTCCATTTTTAACGAGAGAAAATCTCTATGTTACTCTCGGAGTTATCTTTTCAATAGCGGTATTGTGGTGGGAAAGAAGATGTTGATATGTAATTGAAGCGGTGGGAAAGATGATGTTGATATGTAATCTTCAATGTGATAGTAGATTTATAGTTGCCAAGACCGATGTAGGCTTACAGGGTGAACCACGTAAATCGTGTGTTGTTGTGGTGTGATTTTTATCTTTGCCTTATTTCTCGTATTTGATTTAATTTGCATTTAATCAATCTTGTACACGATCTTGGGTGGAATTTCGGTTCTACAAGCTAAGGGTTCCTGAAAACCCTACAACTTACTGGTGTATTGAGACTAGTTTAGTGCTTTCTTCTTCCTTTCTCTCTCTCTCTAACTGGTTCGTGAATGAAGGGTGAGGCTTTGGCAACCCATGGTTGAAGAAATGTACATGGAGGAAATGAAAGAACATGAACAAAAGGGATTTGATGAAAAACAATCGTATTCTCAAGCGTAAAGATGACTCCTGACACTAAGCTTTTGGGTCATGCCTAGACCCCTCTGTAAATTTTTGAGCAGAGCACCTAGTGTCTCTTTAGATATGTATAATTCTAAATGAAAAAGAGAGAAAAGGGGGCGTTGGGGGAGAGACGAGATAGAGAATGCATTAGGGCTTTGGGGGAGAGAGGATGTCACAGAGATACCGAGGTGGGCCCATGGGAGGTAGACGGCCCATGAGAAGGAAATGAGGTGGGCCCATGGGAGGGAGAGGGCCCATGAGAAGGAAATGAGATAAACGGTGGGTGCATTTGGGATTTGGATTTTTATTTAAGATAGCATAATGTCATCATACGGGGATCACCACTATCGAGGGGTTGCAATAAATGTTTTTTAATACTTTAGTGCCACAAGGTAGTCTTCAAAGTTCAGGGGACATTGGAAAATTGTTCTAAAAAATATAATCTATAAAAATATTTTTCTAAAACTATATATATATATTTTTTATTATCACGCAAGAAAGGGCGTGAATCTCAATTACATATGGGTAGCAATGGCTTTGGGTTGGGTCAGCCGAAAAAATGATTTGGAACCTGGACCAAGATTCTAAGAGCAACCCACCAGTTCAACCCAGATTATTGAATCTAGGCTGATCTGTCTGTCACGACTACATTTCGCATTTTAATTTTAATTTTTTTCTACAAATTAAAATAACTTGAAATTTTATGTGTGTATTCTTCAAAAATAGAAATCTAATATAAATATCAAAAAATAATAATTTACAATAAATGAATTAATCAAAATACCCTTAAAATGTATTTT